TCAAGTACAAACTAATGTCAACAGATTAGCACTCTTCTCTGAGCAGGAACAGTTTGTTGCTAACCTGGAGGGAAAGCTGAGCCAACACACAGCTGGGCGGAAAAGGAGTGGGCAGCTTCCAGAGATTTGGTGGACAGCACTGCATCTGCTCATCTGGGTCACAACACTTGCAAACATCAAGACTGGTTTGACAAACATGATGAGGAAATTCAGAAACTGCTAAATGAAAAATGAAAACTCCACAGAGTTTACCAGCAGGATAGTTCATCTGCCTCTACAGAAGTTTAACTCTATCAAAAGTATAAGGAAAGCTTAGAGAGATGCAGGACTCTTGGCTCAGTAAGAAGGCAGATGGCATTTAGTTTTATGCTGATAATAATAATCCAAAATGCTCTTATGATGCCCCAAAGGCTATTCATGGGCCAAGGACCTCAGGCGCATCTCCACTGCTCAGTGCTGATGGAGCCATGTCGATTAGTGATAAGGACACGATCCTGGAGAGATGGGCTGAACACTTCCATAGACCATCATCAATCAATGCTGAAGCCACTGACTGCATACCTTAGATTGAAGTCAATCCCTCCCTAGCTGAAGGTCCAACAAAAAAAGGGTCTGCATTCCATCAGGCTCCTCCCATGTAAAATGTCTGGTGCTGATTCTATTCCAAGGCAGGGGGTGCACTCTTCATACAAACCTGCCGGAAATGTTCTGGGCTACATGGCAAGAGGGATTTATCTCCCAGGAGTTCAAGGGTATCTTCATTATTCACCTGTACAAAGGAAAGGGAAATACATTGTCCTGTGACAATCTGGCATGATTCTTGCCAGGGTCCTCCTTAACAGGCTGATCCTTTGCCAGTGTGGCTTCAGAAAGGGCCAAGAACAGCCAATATGGTGTTTGCTGCCCAACAACTCCCAGAGAAATGCCAGAAGCAGTACAGAGTCTATATACAAAATTGTGGATCTGACCAAGACCTTTAATTCTGTCAATCATGAGGGGTTGTGGAAGATCATGGCAAGATTGGGCTGCCTGGAGAAGTTAATCAGCATTGCAGGTCAGTGCCATGACGGCGTGTTTGCACTGGTTCTCGATAATGGACGATGCTCTCGTGCTTTCCCAGTCACCAACGGAGAGAAGCAGGGCTGTGTGCGTGCGTTCAGGATGCGTAGAGAGAAGACGGACCACGCTCTGAGGAGGAGGCACTGCTAGTGCGGGCTCACTGATAAAGTGCTCATGAGGGAGGCGGGACTTAGCTGGATCTTGAGGGAAGGGAAGGGGCATCTCGGCTTCAGAGGCTGCACTGAGTGCACAATCATCTGCAAACAAAAAGTCACGCACCAACTCTCCCTCCACTTTGGTCTTTGCTTGGAGCCTTTTCAAGTTAGATAACATACTAGCGTGGCGTAGCTGACCATGATGCCATTTTTGTCCTCACTGAAAGTGTTCAATGACATTGCTGACAACATCGTGCTAACACCATGGGAGCATGCGGGGAGATGCCGTGGTCTCTCTCGTCAGACTGAGGGCGCCCTCAGAGCAGGGGCTGGTCCACGGTCCTCAGCACAGTGCTTGGCACAGCAGGTCTTAATAAGTGCCTCTTGAAAGGACTCCTTCAACCAAAAGAAGGTCTAGGAGAACTGAGGGGCAGTCTGGCAGAAAACAGGAGGAAACCAGCCTGAGATGCTGTGTAACCTCGAGGCAGCCAGATGGGCCTAGAATCAGGATGACCTGGGTTCAAATCTGGCCTCAGATGCTTCCTAGCTGTGTGACTTTGGGCGAGTCACTTACCCACTGTCTGCCTCAGCTTCCTCATATGTAAAATGAAGACATTAACAGCACTTACCCAGCAGGTTTGTTGTGAGGGTCTGTGTAGAACACCGTGAACACCCCGAAAGTTCTATGTAAATGGGAGCTATCATTATTATTACAACACACTGAGACATGATGAGACGGTCGATCTAAATTCTGAAGGTGACATCATAAAAATACTAAAGATAAACAAGCAGAAAGAGCTTTCACAACTATAATTAGTCGTCACCAAGCAACAGACAGATGAGGATCACAAAACACAAAACAAAAGGCCTTTGGAAATGATGAATGCTGGAGAGGATGTGGGAAATTGGAACACTGATGCATTGCTGGTAGAGCTGTGAAGTGATCCAGCCATTCTGGAGAGCAACTTGGAGCTATGCCCAAAGGCCTATGAAGTTGTGCATACCCTTTGACCCAGCAATAGCACTTCTAGGTCTGTATCCCAAAGAGATCCTACAAATGGGAAAAGGACCCACACGTACAAAAATATTCGTAGCAGCTCTTTTTGTGGTGGCAAAGAATTGGAAACAGAGAGGATGCCCATCAACTGGGGGATGGCTGAACAAGTTGTGCTGTATGAATGTAATGGAATACTACTGTTCTGTAAAAAATGACGAGCAGGATGCTCTCAGAAAAACCTGGGAAGGCTTGCATGAACACAGAGTGAAGTGAGCAGAACGCTATACACAGTTAAGAGCTACATCGTGGGATGACTGACTCTGATAGACTTGGCTCTTCTCAGTGATACAAGGATCTAAGACAACTCCAAAAGTCTCATGATGGAAAATGCTATCCACACACAGAGAAAGAACCATGGGGTCTGAATGCAGATCGAAGCAGACTATTTTCTCTTTTTTTTGTTTTTTCTTTCTCATGATTTTCCCCTTTTGTTCTGATTCTTCTTTCACAACATGACTAATGTGGAAATGTTTAATATGATTGTACATGTATAGTTTATGTCAGACTGCATGCTATCTTGGGGAGGGGGAGGAGAGGGAGGGAGAAAAAATTTGGAATTCAAAATTTTATAAAATTGAATGTTGAAAACTTAAAAAAATTCTTTGACAAAAATTCTTCAAATAAATAAGTTCTGATTTTGACACTCAGGACCTAAAATAAATAAATAAATAAATGAATAAATGACTATAGTTGTTTTTTTTAAAAAGGCTTTTGCACAAAGACAATGTTGCTAGAAATAATGACAAATGGGAAAAATATTTCCTTCACGTACCTCTGATAAGCATCTATTATTCAAGATATATAAGTAAATGACAAAAATTTACAAGACCACGATCCACTTGGCAAATAAATGTCCGAAGGACATGAACAAATGTTTTTGAAAAGAACTGTCAGTCTTACGAAAGACTGTCCCGCATCACTATTAAGAACAGTGAAAACTCCAAGGTTTCACAACACGATCAAACACGGGATGGGAAGGGCCAGTGACGAAGGGCCCTTGGGAAGGCCGGCCCATGCTAACATTGGCAAAGCTGTGAAACGATCCCATAATTCTGAAAAAACGCAGGGCAATTACATGAGAAAAGTTACTATCGCTGACCCAGCAACGCCATTCCCCACAGGAGGCCCATACCCCAAGGTGGTCAAAGAAAAAGGTCCCTCTCTAACAAAATATGCTGAACTGCATGAACCTGAAAACCCAGGGCATGCCCAGCCATAGGAGCACCACCCTGGGCCACAATGGAAAAGGGCCCCAGTGACAGAGCCAGCAGGCACCACCACATGACAAAATCGGATCTTCAAAGAGCCAGACAAAGCACACTGTCATCAGGAAAACCAAGAAGGCAAGACCGGCAGAAAACAGGACAGGCACTGCCCACAGACCCCCGTCTTGTGTCAAGGTCCGACCACGGTGGACGCGGCCCCAATACGGGGGCTCATCCAGAGCGGGCAGGGCTGGCCTGTGAAGGCTACACCTCACTTTAGGGACACACAAAGTAATGACACCCCAGAACCCATACATAGAATGGGTGTGAGAATGGTGGATACCTGCCTCCCCACAGGAGCTGATGGACGGATGCGTGGTGTTCAAAGAGACAGAGAAAGGCTGGTGTGATCTGCATGCTGGTGCAGAGAGCACAGAAGCTGCGCACAGGAGGACAGTAACGCTGACCCACAGGGACTAAGCGGCCTCCCCTGCCCAGCCCCCTGCATCAGGGGATGAGAAGTGCTGGAGAGACAAAGGAAGACAAGGGCCCTGCCCTCAAGGAGCTTACCATGGACAAACAAATGTGTACAGACAAGCTCTAGGCAGGACAAACAGGAGATCCGCAGCAAAGAGAAGGCCCAGTATTAGGAGAGGCCAGGGAAGGCTTCCTGAACGAGGGGGATCTTAGGTGGGACTTAGAGGAAGCCTGGTGGAAGAGGGAGGGTGTTCCAGGCAGGGGACAGTCAGGGAGAATGCAGGAGCCGAGACGTGGAGGGGTTTGGGGTCACCGGATGGAAGTGCATGGCTGAGGGGACACGAGGAGGGGGCTGGGTTAGGAAGGGCTCAGGACGCCAAACAGAGCACTGTGTATTTGCTCCTGGAGGCCACAGGGAGCCCCTGGAGTTTACGGAGGAGGGGAGTGGCATGATCAGACTTGTGCTTCAGGAAAATCCCTTTGGAGGATGGACTGGAGGGGGAGAGACCAAGGCAGGCAGACCCCCAGCAGCCACTGCAGTAGTCCAGGCCTGAGGGATGAGGGTCTGCACCAGGGGATGGCAGCATGGGAGGAGAGCAGGAAGCGTATGGGAGAGTTTTACAAGTCAACAAAAGACAAAGAGCAAAAAAGGATGTAGAAGCACAAAAGACATTTTCTTAAAATTCACGTATGCATTCAAAACAACAACAGTGAAAGACAGTGAGCCAGGAGGCAGCTGGGCCCAGAGAAAGGGCCATCCCCCACTGGACCTGGAAGGACAAGGAAACAGGTCTTATGGAAAGAGCAAGAGGCTAAGGAGGGAAGGAAGGAGGGATGGAGGGAGAGAGGAGGAGGGAGGGAGGGAGGGAGAGAAAGAAGGAGGAGGAAGGGAGGAGAGAGGGAAAAAGAGAGGAGCAGACACCTACTAGGAGCCCGCCACCCACTCGCCAGCCTGGGCTGCTCTGAGGAGAGCCCCCTGGACCCACTGACAGACTGACCGCCTTGACTGGGACTCCAGGGGCTCGCGCCTCTGCTGGTCTAACTCACCTGCACAAAGGCCTTTCCGGACTTTTCCTTCTACCCTCCACGGTCCTTCTCCTCGCTCCAGCTGACCAATCACATCTGGGCTGGACGCTGCCAGGCCTGCTCAGTGGAAACAAGCATGTGCTGGGGGCAGGGAGCAGTAGAGCAGTCAGCCCCAGCCCTTTCCGAAATGGCCCAGGGGTCTCAGGGCTTCCAAGGGCCCTCAGCACGTGCTCTCAGGAGGCCGTCCGCTCCCTGCTAAGGCTCAGGCCCCCGTGAAGTCTTCAGCTTCTGCACCAGGACTTCTGGGACAGCGAATGTGAGACAAAGGGCAGGGGCAAGGGTAACACCTGGAGCCTGGCCTCTGCCACCCCTCAGGCCTCCCGGGGCAGCCTCCTTACCCAGGCACACCAGGTTCCTGTAGTTCTCCAGCATCACGCTCCTGTACAATTCCTTCTGGGCAGGGGCCAGCCGGCCCCACTCCTCCACCGTAAAGTCCACGGCCACGTCGCTGAACGTCACCTGCTCCTGAAAGACCACACCCCGGCGCTCTCAGCGGCAGCTCTGATCCTCCGGGAGACCAGAGCCTCCTTTGCCCTGTGGGGGCGGGCGCCCCTGCCCGGCCCCTACGGGCCATTCTTCTCATCTGCACAGCCGTCCCTGCCCTGCCTTAACACTGACTGAGCCGGGCCCTGCACTGGGGCTGGGGCGTCAGAGACGACACCAGGAGACCACCTGTCCTCGAGGAGCCCCACTGTGCCCTGTGTGTGCATGCAAACACATGCAGGGCCAAGCACAGTAGCTTCAGGAGAGGCAACACCAGGAGCAGTGTGTGCGTGTGTGCGTGTGTGTGTGTGTGTGTGCGTGTAGAAACAGGAAGAGGCTCATCTAGGGGTGTCTGAGCTAAGCCCTGAGGGAAACACAGGGCCACGAGGCAGAGGCGAGGAAGGGATGTACTCTGGGTACTGGGGCTTCTTGGCATACCTCCCTGCGCAGCCAGCTCAGTACTGAGCCTGGGCTGGAGAAGAGAGGGGGCATCTCCCTGGGGCACTTGGGTTCAAATGCTCCCAGCCTCAGCCTCCTCCTCTGAGGCTCCACAGGGGGCTTCTCACCTGGGGGGACCCGGGAGCCATTCCCTCCTCTTCCTCCTCCTTCTCCTCCAGGGTGCCAGGAGAGGGCCAGGGTGCGCAGCTTGGGCTGAGGCTGGATGGAGACCGCAGGCTGTGCATTCACTCCTTCCTTCATTCATTTCTTCATTCTGCAGCAGGCCTGGGAGACACAAAAGAAGACCAGCCTACCCTTAACCAGTCAATCAACAAACGTGTTGGTAGTGTCTGGCAGCCCAGGTGGAGTGGGTACCTCCACATACCGGGAGAGCCTGCCTGGTATTTGGGGCCCAGAGCCCCCCCAGCTCCCTGCATCTTCTGCACGGAGGGGGTAGCCCCCTGTACCTCTTCTGCATCGCCAGTGCTGGCACACAGTAGGCGCTCAATCAGTGCTGACCAGCTGGTGTGCAGAAGCTGGCTCAGAGGGGCTGCCCCAGAGCTGGTGGAGGGACTTTATCCACCAGGACGTCTCTAAGCTGAGCCCAGAAGGAAGAGGAGGCTTTAGGATGGGGGTGCTGGGGAGGGGGGGGCCTGCAGCAGCCCCGCCTTCGGGACAGAGGGGAGATGCTGCGACCTGCCTGCGGAGCCTTGAATGCCTAGCTAGGGGAGGTGGAGGCTAAGGCACTGGGGAGCCACAGGGAGCACGTGAGCAGGGCAGTGACCACCTCCATGGGGCGGGGGGCGGGACAAATTGACCATCCCCTGGAGGAGGCGCCACTGATTGGCTACCAGGCCACGCCCCTGGGGACTGACCAATGGGCGCGCCCGCTGGCGGAGGGGGCGGGCCCAGGGCAGATCACGCACGCGCGGCTCTACCTTCACCTGCGCCTCCCTCCCTCCCCGGAAGCTGCTGAGGCAGGCCCGCCGCGGCTCGGCTCCCCTCCGCCCGGCCCAGAGCCCCGGCCCTGACCCCTCACTCACCCGGGTCCCGGGACGCGGGACTCGGTCCCGGGGGCGGCGGCTGCAGCAGAGCCCAGGAGGCCACAGTCACCAAAGACTCGCCGCCGGAAGCGGAAGTAATGTGTGTTCGAGGCTCACCCACCCTCACAAGATGAGGCGTTAGCTGCGCAAGATCTTATGGGAAATGTAGTTCGGGCAGTGAGGCGAGCCGCTTGGAGTAGGCGAAGAGGAGGGGGCGGTTGGGGGTGGAGCGAGGACTCCGCGCAGGCGCGAGCGACCAGGGATGGGGGCGCCTGCCGAGGCTTTTTAGCTGGGCGCAGCGAAGCGGGGCGGGTCCCCGAGTCCTGCTTCCGTCCTTTGTCCCTAGGGCACGTCTCCCACGAAGTGAGGGAGGTTTCCTGCTCCCTTCAGAGCATGATAAAGCCCCTGTTGTATGTGCCTCCCCACGAAGCTCATTGGGCAAGGATGTCGCGTTCAACATTGTAAGAGCTAACAGTGCTTCCAGGTGGCCCAGAGATGGGTGTTCAGCCTGGTCGGCTTCATTTCCCTTAATCTTCCGTAGCCCCTCCAGAGTGGCATGGGGCAGGGAAGGGATGAAGGCCATTTTGCATGCCTCTGTTTCCTGGGTAACTGGCCAAAAAAGCAGCATTCTGCCCGCAGCCCGGCGCTGGTGCCGCCCCTTAGGAGGCTGGCGAGCCTCGGCACTCGTCTAATATTGTGCAGGGCGGCCGTCCCCATGCCGCGGGATTGGAAACACGCGCTCATCGGACGCCCGGTGTGGGCTGGCTGCCGCACCAAGCGCTTGACAAATAGCATCTCCTGGATCCTCACAGTAACCCTAAAAAGGCACGGGCCGTCCAGGGCGTGGACCGTCCCTGCCCCACCGTGGTTTGCATCGTGAGCCCGGCCTGGGTTCAGCTGGAGATGCTTCGGAGGCTACTGGGCTTAGCTGCCTCTCTGTCTGACTTTCTAGGCACGTTTGTAGGCCTTGGGGTGACCCCTAGAGATTTCCCAGGAGGTGCTGTTTGTAGGTTTTCGACTAATCTGGTGGGTCCTCGGCTACGTTAGCTTTGCTTTTGAAAAGTGTTTGCTGCCTGGGGGGTTTCTGCGCACCCTCAACCTTCTTGTTAAGATTGGTTTGCTTGAAACTGCACATGTATAAGCTGTGTCAAATGTTTTGCCTACTCAATGAGAGGGGAAGGGGAGAGAGGGAGAGGGAGAGAATTTGGAGCTCGAAACTTGAAAAAAAAGGATGTTAATGTTGTTTCTGTAAGATGGGGGGGGTATTAAATCAGATTGTTTTGCTCCAGTTAAACTGCAGCCAGTTGGCACTTACTAAACATTCGGAAATGCATAGACGGCCCAGAAGTTCCAGGCATGAGGGGACGGCTACAAGACCACCCTTCGGCCATTATGCACGTTGCTATGGGGCATACTTAGTTTTCCACAGATGTGTGTAAAAGGGTCCCTGATTCCCACGAAACATCCAAGGGAACACGCAATAATACAGGTAAAGGTCAGTCTTTATTTTACAGAAAATAACAAAGACAGCAAAATACTCACAGGAATCCATAGGGAGAGACAGCACGTGAAGTGCTCACTAGGCATTAGGCAGCTGAGTGGGTGGCGGGGGATGGGGCTGTGCACAGTGCACAGAACTCTGGGCCTGGAGTCAGAAAGACATGAATTCAAATCCAGCCTCAAGCACTTACTAGCTGTTTGACCCTGGGCAAGTCCCTGAACCTCTGATTGCCTCAGTTTCCTCAACTGTAAGACGAGGATAATAATAGTACCTCCCTCCCAGGGTTACTCTGTCGAATGAGATGGTATCTGTAAAGCAGGTAGCATAGCGTTGGGCACATAGCACATGCAATGTTTGCTTCCTTCCTTCACTGTAGGATCACAGAAATAGAGGGGACTTTAAAGGTCATCTAGTCTAACACCCTTATTTACGGATGAGGAGGCTGAGGCCCAGAGAGGGAGATATAGGTAGATAGATCGATCGATAGAAAACCTTTGTATAGTAAGTGGCAGAGTTTTAATTTGAACTGAGATCCTAAAATTAAAATTAAAAATTCAGTGCTCCAAATCCATCAGTCATTTCACTGCCCCAGGTGGCCCTGCCTCAAAAGGGACTTGAGGTCACCAACAAGGCAACATGTTGACACTCCAGGGAAATCCTTCTCTCACTTGGGGCCCCTTCCACCTCCACCCCCACCCCCAAAGCTTATAGTGCCATCCTTCTCTTTGGAGTCCTCCTACCAGATAAAAACACTTTGGGGCTTAGGAGCTAACTCACCATCAGATCAGTAACAGCTGAAGGTTAAGTACAATTTTCCTGTTTCCTTTAAGATGTAGCTTTAGTTCCTTACTGCTTCTCCAGCTAGGATTGGGGGTGGGGTGGAACACGGAAAAGCCTGTTTTTTTTCTCTTAAGAGTCACACTGTTAAGGACTCTCCATTCCCTAGAATGCTACATCACAAAACTATTAAATGTGGAATTACTTACAAGGCATCACCCAAGGTTAGTGATGCCCAATAAATTTCCCTTCTCTAGGATCATGGTGTGGGGGAAGTGAAGATTCCCTTCCTCTACCCATGACGTTGGGATCCAGAAATGTTCTACATGGACACTCCTCTTGGGTAATGCGGGTAAAGGCAATTGGCATGAAATAAAAGATTTATGCTTTCAGAAGGAATCCTGCTCGTGTTTCTACTGTGCATACAGAAATGTTCTTTGGTGTTTATGTTCACGATATATATATTTTTTAAATCAGGCATTTCTTGCCTATTAATATGATCTTCCAGGTTTGAGGGGTAGTGCCTGGAAAATGGACACACTGTTGAGTCCATGGGCATCCTCTTCTAAATTCATAGTTGGTCTGTTTGTGAAATGGGGCCTTGGCACACATCAAGAACCTTCAGTAGCCTTAGACACAGGAGGCTATTGTCTGGACGGGCAGACTATATTAGTTTCTCATCATTAAAGAATGAAACACTGAGTCATCATTGTAGGTAGCTTCTATCTTGTGATGGGTCACTTGTCTCACAGATACTAACAACTGTACTGAGAATGGGCTTGGCAGAAGCTACCATTATCTTGGCCTGGGCTGGAGCTTAGATAGCTGGGATGGGGTAGGGTGCAAAGCTTCCCAGTAAAGTTACTGGCAAAAGTTACAGAGGGGTAAAAAGCCTGTTGAAATAGGTTATAAGCACTCCATCTACTTGAAAGGAAATACCAATAATACTTAACAAATATTTCTTCAACTTAGGAAGGGAGTTTTTCAAACTGTGGACTGCACTAGTAATTTCAGGATTAAGAAAACAATGGAGTCGATCCCACACTGGAAGCTGACCCATCCCAGCTTTATTAGTCCTTGAAGCATGCAGGGGACTGTAGCAGTCACACAAGGCACTGCCCAAAAAAAGACCATACAAAACACAAGGTGGTGTCTGTTTGTTTCCAAATAGCCCTCTCTAGAAGGAACATTAAAACACTGGTTTAACTGCTTATTCTGTTTTTGGTCTGCATTTGTGATCTGATGAGTGTGTGGGGACCTCCCACCAAAGATGCAGGCCTGCAACACTTCTGCCATGTACAGTTTTAAACAGCTGTTTGGGGTGCCGGAAAGCGGCTCACTGGCTGTTACGGTGCAGATATTAGTGTGTGCCAGAGCACAACCAGAGCCCAGCTCTCCCTGACAACAAGGCTAAACTTCTAATTGCATTATGTATGCTATGCTGACTCTCACCGGTTTATTATCCTAGCTTTCTTCTATTTGATGAATTTGCATGCATACTGCCTTGCTTGCCTCTGGCTTAAGAAGCAATTCAAAATCCCCTCTCGATCAAAGTCCATCTTTTTTTTATTTGTGGCTAAACTCAACTTTTTGGATGTTACATTGAGATGCAAACCAATTTTCTTTGTTTTTCAGAATACTCAAATTTGCTCTCTTCATTTCCTGTGAACAAGATATAGTTGTGTGTGTTAGAGTGTTTTTCCTCAGTTTCCTGTTTAAAAGATTTGTCTAATGGTGAAATTCTGAAGCTTAATTGAGACATTTCTCAGGGAGTCATACTTAGTTTAACTTACTTGGCAATCTATGATTTCTATTTATACCTTGCCTTCTATTTTCAGGATGTCTGGGTAATTTTCACTATGATTTCCTAAAATATCAAACTTTTATTTCATTTTTTTCTGGAAGACCTATAACTCAGATGATCATTATACATTCTATTGTCAAGACATCTTATTGTATAGAGAAGTCAGCATTCTTTCAATTTTACTGTCTTTTGATTTTGTTCTGAAAAGAATTTTTAAGGTGTTTTGTTGTCTTTTTTTCCAGAGAGACTTTCAGAGTTCTCTGGAGAGATTCCCCATGTTTTCCAAATTATCCGTTGCCTTTCTGATTCTTTTAATCAATACTTATGGCATCTGCCCAAATTTTCATCCTTCCTTAATTCTATTATTTTTCCGAGACATTCTAGTGGTCTTGCAATAAGAAATTTTACAGGGACTTCATCTATAGGGTTTCCATTAAGTTTGTTTTCCCTGATTTTCACTAGTATTGTAGTTCTAGGGTAAAATCCTTTTCATGTTCATCACATTCTTAGAGCTACCCTCTTGAATATGTTTTTTTTTTTTTAATGTTCAGAAACTGCTGTGGAATAGCTGGAAATTTGTAATTCCTCAGTGTGAACTGATGTTGAATAAGGTGTTGACTCTGGAGGAAATCATATTCTCAATCATTATATTTAAAAACTCTCTTTGTACTAAGACTTCAGAAGATTTAATGTTTTCAAAGGCATCTTTATTTATAAGGTTACTTACTCTCCACTATGAATTCTCTGATGTAAAGCAAAGGTGGTGCTCAGAAGGAAGGCCTTTCCACATTCATTACATTCATAAGGTTTCTTTCCAGTGTGAATTATCTGATGACGAGTAAGTTGTGAGCTCTGGCAAAAGGCCTTCCCACATTCACTACATTCATAACATTTCTCACCAGTGTGAATCCTCTGATGTTCAGTAAGCTCTGTGCTCCAGCTGAAAGCCTTCCCACATTCATTACATTCATAAGGTTTCTCACCAGTATGAATTCTCTGGTGTATAGCAAAGGTGGTGCTCAGAAGAAAGGCCTTCCCACATTCCTGACATTCATAAGGTTTCTCTGCAGTGTGATTTCTCTGATGACGTGAAAGCTGAGAATTCTGACAACAGACCTTCCCACATTCACATTTATGAGGTTTCTCTTCTGTATGTATTCTGTGATGCTGAGTGAGTTGTTTTCTCCATCTGAAGGCCTTTTCACATTTACTACATTCGTAAGGTTTTTCTCCACTGTGAATCCTCTGATGTCGAGTAAGTTGTGTGCTTTGGTTGAAGGCCTTCCCACATTCATTACATCCAAAAGGCTTGTCTCCACTGTGAATTCTCTGATGTACAGTAAAGTTTGTCCTCAAAAGAAAGGCCTTCCCACATTCTTTACATTCATATGGCTTCTCTCCACTGTGGATCCTCTGATGTCGGGTAAGTTCTGTACTCCGGCCAAAGGCCTTCCCACATTCATTACATTCATAAGGTTTTTCTCCACTATGAGATCTCTGATGTTGAATAAGATTTCTACTCTGTCTGAAGGCTTTCCCACACTCATTACATTTAAATGGCTTCTCTCCACTATGAATCCTCTGATGTCGAGTAAGTTCTGTACTCCGGTGAAAGGCTTTCCCACATTCATTGCATTCGTAAGGTTTCTCTCCACCATGAGTTCTCTGATGCTGAGTAAGGTTTTTATTCTGACTGAAGGTCTTTCCACATTCACTACATTCATAATGTTTCTCTCCAGTGTGAATTCTCTGATGTTGAATGAGTTGTTTTCTCCACCTGAAGGTCTTTCCACATTTGCTACATTCATAAGGTTTCTCTCCACTATGAATTCTCTGATGTCGAGTAAGTTCTGTACTCCGGCCAAAGGCCTTCCCACATTCATTACATTCATAAGGCTTCTCTCCACTATGAATTCGTTGATGTACTATAAAGTTTGTTCTCAGAAGGAAGGCCTTCCCACATTCTTTACATTCATATGGTTTCTCTCCACTGTGAATCTTCTGATGTCGTGTGAGTTCTGTACTCCGGCCAAAAGCTTTCCCACATTCGTTACATTCATGAGGTTTCACTCCAGTATGAATTATCTGATGCTGAGTAAGTTGTGAGCTCCAGCAAAAGGCCTTCCCACATTGATTACATTCATAAGGTTTTTCTCCACTGTGAGTTCTCTGATGTTTAGTAAGGTATCCACTCTGGCTGAAGGCCTTCCCACACTGATTACATTCATAAGGTTTCTCTCCACTGTGAGTTCTCTGATGTTTGGTAAGGTTTCTGCTCTGTTGGAAAACCTTCCCACATTTGTTGCATATATAAGGTTTCTCTCCTTTATATAGTCTTTGATGTTCAATGAGGTCTGAGTTATAACTGAAGGATTTTCCACATTCACCATCTTTACAAACTGTCCCCTTTAAGCATATTTCAATAGATGTTCTTAGGTCTGAGTACAACCTGAAGTCATTTAAATGTTTATCACATTTAAGGGGACTCCTTCCTGGTAACTTCTGTTGTGGTAAAAGGATTGGCCCTAAACTAAAGCTTTGGACAAACTGACCAGATTCATGGTTTTTCACTTCATTTAGAGGTCTCCTTTGAGTAACTTTTACTGGTACAGAATATTTCTCTTCATTGCTCTCCTGTCTTTCTAACTTGGCATCATATTCCCTGGCTTTTCCCAATTTGAAGAGACAGATTCTGAGAGTATCTGTGAGTCTTTCTTTGGATGATTCTTCTAGAGACAGGCAAAGATTTTGCCTGAACCCTTGGTCCCTCCATCTGAAAGAAATATAAAAAATAAAATATACTGTAGATATAATATTGTTTTCTAATTGCTTCATTAATAACAGTGATTCATGTATAGCCTATTGCTTGCCATCTTCGGGAGGCGAGAGGGAGGGAGGAAAATTTGGAACCAAAAATCTTATTAAAAATCAATGTTGAAAACTACATGTAATTTGGGGAAAATGCCACTTACCTTTCAAAAATTAATAAAAGTGATTCTAAAGATAGAACGAATGCAGTGCCATACCAATTAAACTACCAAAAAGTTATTTTATAGAGTTAGAAAAAATAATAATATTCACTTGGAATAACAAAAGGTCCTGAATATGAAGGGAACTAATGAAAAGAAATGCAGGGGAAGGTGGCCTAGCCATTCCAGATCTTAAACCATATTATAAAGCAATCATCAAAACTGCTTGGTACTGGTGGATCAGTGGAATAGGTTAAGTATGCAAGACATAGTAGTCAATAACTATAGTAATCTATTATTTGATAAACCCAAAGGCCCTAGCTTTTAAGAACTCACTCTTTGACAAAAACTGCTGGAAAAACTGGAAGAGTATGGCAGAACCTAGGCATAGATCAAAATCTCATACCATATACCAAAATAAAAGTCAGAATGGGTTCATGTTTTAGATATAAAGGCTGATACTGTAAGCAAACTGGGAGAGCAAGGAATAGCTTACCTATCAGATTTATAGGGAGCAGAAGAATTCATGACCAAACAGGAGATAGAGAACATTAAAAAAAGCAAAATGGATAACTTTGATTACATTAAATTGAAAAGTTTTTGCACAAACAAAGCCAATGCAACCAACATTAGGAGAGAATAGAAAACTGGAAAAGAATTTTTACACCCAGTGTCTCCGATAAGGGCCTCATTTCTAAAATATATAGAGAATTAAGCCAAATTTATAAGAATACAAGTCACTCCCCAATTGATAAATGGTCAAAGAATATGAACAGGCAGTTCTTAGATGAAGAAATTAAAGCCATCTATAGTCATATGAAAAAATGCTCTAAAGCACTATTGATTAGAGAAATGCAAATCAAAACAACTCTGAGGTACTACATCACACCTATCAGATTGGCCAACATGACAAAACAGGAAAATGATAAATGTTAGAGAAGACGTGGGAACACTAATGCATTGTTGGTGGAGTCATGAAATGATCCAACCATTTTGGAGAGCAATTTGGAACTATGTCGAAAGGGCTATAAAAATGTGCATACCCTTTGACCCAGCAATAGCACTTCCCACAGAGATCATACAAATAGGAAAAGGATGCACATGTACAAAAATATTTATAGCCGCTCTTTTTGTGGTGACAAAGAATTGGAAATTGAGGGGATACCCATCAATTGGGGAATGGCTGAACAAGTTGTGGTATATGAATGTAATGGAATACTACTGTGCTATATGAAATGATGAACAGGCAGACTTCAGAAAAGACTTGTATGGACTGATGCAGAATGAAGTGAGCAGAACCAGGAGAATGTTGTACATAGTAACAGCCACATTGTGTGATGACTAATATTGATAAACTTAACTCTTCTCAGCAATACAAGGATCTAAGACCTCTCCGAGGCCTCATGACAGAAAATGCTATCCACATCCAGAGAAAGAACTATGGAGTTTGAATGCAGATCAAAGCATACTATTTGCTATCTTTTTTCTCTTCTGTTGAGTTTTGTTTCCTCTTCCTGGTAGTTCCTCTTATTGGTTCTAATTCTTACTTACAACACCACTAATATGAAAATATGTTTAATAGGAATGTATATGTAGAGCCTATATCAGACTACAAGCCATCTTGGGGAGGGAGGGGGAGAAAAATTTAAAACTCGAAAGCTTATGGAAGTGACTGCTGATAATTTGAAATTAAATAAATAAAGGAACAAATGCATAAAACAACTTTTTGTTTTGTTATCAGAACAGTACTCTATAAATATTAAGGCATTACATTATTATTAGTGCTGCCACCTACAGTTCACACAATTTTTCCTAGTGATTCTCACCCCAAACTTACTCCAGCCAGTTATTAGCCTACAAATGTGGGCTAAGTCGGTGACTTGTACCCGATAACACAAGAATCAATCAGGAGGTCAAAGCTGGCCTTCAGATTCCAAGTGCGTCATCCTGCCTCCTCAGAGATGGCACTGGCCACTGTGGTGTCAAGGCTGAGACAGGAAGAAAGTGAAGCCAGGGCAGGGCTGATAGTCGGGAGAGTGTTGAGGAAGGGCAGGACCGGAAGTCATCGTGAGGATGAAGAAGAGCTTTAAGGGAAAGGAGGCAGAGAGAGAGGCTTGGTGTGGGACATACATCTCAGTTCTTAATCACCGAAATGAAACTCTTGTGAGACCAAGGGTGGGGCCACCATGGTGTGTAGCGGAGGGTGTATGCAGGTTCTGGGGGTTAAGGAAGTTGGTGAACCAAAGAGGCAGAGGTGTTTGAGAGAATGTGAACAGGTACGTTCGAGTTCCCAAGGTAAGATCATAAGTTGAGGTGAAGATGGTGAGCCGCGTCCAGAACTCCTGGAGCAAGCCGAGGGAGCAAGCTGGGCACTGGTACAGAGAAAAGCCAAGATGCTAACTGGAAAGCCCAACGAGATGAAGGAGGAGGACAGAGGGAGAGCTCTCAGGTGCCCCAGCAGCGCCCACAGCCAGGCTTCCATGGATACGCTCCATTCCTACGGATAACTGACTGCCGCGCCACCACCAGTGACTGGCAAGAGACAAGGATGATCCATGATGGTGAGGATAGGAGAAGACAGGCACACGGATGCCCTCTTGGTGCAACTGCTCTGAAAAATCATTTGGATTTGTGTGAAAGTCATGAAGCTGCGCACACCCTGTGACTCAGGAAGACCACAGGTCCCAGACTAACACAAACCACAAACCATCCATGCCTGCCCCCCTTGGGGGATCATTTGTGTTCTCCCCAAAAGCAGTCCAGCAAAATGCGGGCTCTTCCCCCTTTTCTCCTCACAGTCTGGGGATACCAGTAGAGCCCTCTGGCTGTCTACCTGTCTGCCATCCCTGACCGTCTCCTTTTCCTGGCACATGTTTTCCCGAGGACATTTTTTACTCCTGTTCTTCCACACACCTTCTTTGACAGGCTGCAGCCAGTTCACCCCCACCTTGGGCCTCTGCATCGTTCCTGGGTGATCCTGAGTTCCCATCCCTGAAGAGGGATGTGTCCCATATAATACCATTAGCCAAACAATACTAGTAGAATTATATTCCAAATACGAAGAACCTCATACATACAAAAAATGTTCAGAGTTTGTTACAGCAAGTTCCTGGAAGGAAAGGAGATGCCATTGAATGAGGGACAACTTAACAAACTGGTCTAAGAACGTAATCAAATATGATTATGCCACAAGGAACAACAAATGTGAAGACCGGAGAAATGTGGGAAGATCTGTAGGAAATAACCAAGGGACAGAACAGGGAAGACAATTTTCCTGGTGACCAGAACTTCTCTCTTCACCCCAAGCCAACACGGCCCTCCACCTTGCCCTCAGAGCTTAGGACCTCTTCTCAGCTTACTGAGAAGATAAAGGCCATCCACAGTGAGCCCCCCTTCTCCCCTTCCATCTCACCCCTCCCACTGGCTCCCCCTTTATGCCCATCTCCGACATAGAGGTGCCCTCCTCTCCTGATCCGGCCCCCTCTTCTCCCCTTCCATCTCACCCCACCCAACTCCAGCGGCTTCCTATGGCATCCACTATCAAATACAAGGTCTTCTGTTTTGCTTTTAAAGCCCCACAACCTGACTCTACTCTCCCTTTCCGGCCTGACACCATATGCTTTCCCTCCTCCACTGCAATCTCCCAAATGGGCCTTCTCTCTGTCCTTCACCCATAACGCTCCATCTCTCATCTCCACGCTTTTGCACCTCTCCCTCAGGCCTGGAATACGCTCCCTTTTTTCCTTTAAGGCACAGATCTAGTACCACCTTCTGCAAGAACCTTTTCCTGATTCCCCCCAACACTCTCAATGACCTTGTATTTAATTCCCTTGTGATTATTTGTATTCACTTTCTTTTTTACACTCCTGTATTTCTTACAGAGTCCTTTTGAGCAGGGATGGTTTTATTCTCTGGACCTGTATCCTCTGCACCTAGTTCAGGTCCTGGCACACAGTAGGTGCTTCATAAATACTCCTTGTCTGCTTGATGGTTACCTTACAAATATGTCCAGGTGTCCCTCATTCTTGAAAAGAAAATCCTTTACTGGACTATAGACCATCTTCTCTTAGACACTCTCTCTTAAGAGTTTCATGACACCTCACAGTCTTGATCCTTGTCTTCCTGCCTGACCGCTCCTTCTCAATCCCCTTTGCTGCTCGGCCATCATGTCATGGCCACTTCCCAAGGGTCTGTGCTGGTCTTTCTTCTCTTCTCCCACTATACTACCTCACTTGGCGATCCCATTAGCTGCCATGGCTTCAACGATCATCCCTCTGCAGATTCTTCTGAGATCTATAAATCTAGCCCTAACTCTCTCCT